CTACATGCTTATGCTTGACAACATTTCCTTGTGGGATCATGCGATCATTCTCCTAAATTACTTTGCCAGCTTTCGCCCATGTAATATTCTTAGCATCTTTAGACCTTGGAGCACTGTAAATTTTCCCTTCCATGCAAATCGAGCCGTACTGCCCGCCGTGGTACCTGATCCTGCTCGGTTGATGCCACGCATATATTGGCAATGACAATTAATTGGTGCTGATAGTACTGTGCCGCTTCATGCGTTGTTTGCACCAGCCTTTCCCTGCTTCCGAGCTCTGAGGATTTCTGCACGTACGACCACACCACAGCGCTATAATGGGTCAAACTAGCCCATCACAGCTAGCTGAAGGCCTTACATGGGGACACCTGATTTTAATATGATTGCACGTACATACACCCAACATAAATAAATAAATAACTTTTTATTGGTCCGCACACTACAGATAGTAGATAATTTATTTTTATTTATTTGAGAAGAGATAGTAGCTAGATGAAATTAAGCTTGCATACATGCCCCACGGGTCACGTACGAGATGTGCATGCATTGGGTAGATCTAGGAGTAGTTGATTGTTGTATGGGATCATTGAACAACGAAACACGCCACATGAGATATTTTTCATTAATATATAGTTTTTTTACTAGGATACTAATTAATACTATATAGTTAAGAAAACTATGACTAGGTTGGGACAGACGAGAACTCATCCTAGTTGATGGAAAATGCATAGGTTTCAGCGCAATGCACAGAATTATGCAAGCCAAATTCTATCATGTGAATATCCCAAGTTCCCAACTACTCCTTCCGTTCTTTTTTTTTTTGCGGGGAAACTTTTGATCTATTCATGTTCAATAAGGACGTATGTAGTCTTTATTGAAATCTCTACAAAGGCTTATATTTAGGAACAGAAGGCGTAGTACAAAATCATGGCCTTTCGCTTCGTTTTATAGACAAGGCCTAACGAAACTAAAGGAGGAGCCAGGGACAAGACCCCAAATGGGAATAACAATACTGAGGAGCACGCATACAAGGCCACACTTATAAAAGGCTATGCGCAAAAAAGAGACGATTCTCGACAACGATGAAGTTGTTGTCCATTGAAGCACCGTCTAATCTAGGTAGATGCGAATGCAATGCATATAGGTGGAAGAAAGCAAACTCACGAGGAAGGCCTTATTCTGCATTGCAAATGGTGGAGCTCGTCGTGGTACCATCCGTCCATCGCCGAAGAGGGCCTCCTGTGCCTTCGCCCTAGCTCGAAGGGCACTGATCCATCGGGCGATAGAAAGCTAGAACACAAATGGTAACTGGAAACCAGACCATCGAGGAAGAAGAGACTCCGAGCATGACCATCTTCTCAAGCCATGCCATGCCATGAGAACCGCCTCACTGATACACGAACCACACCCACACGACAACTCGCTGAAGAGGCCAAGGTTTAGAAGATCGAACCAAGGGTTTTCACC